TCTCAAACTCCCGACCTCAGGTGATCCGCCCACCTTGGCCTCCCAAAGTGCTGGGATTATAGGTGTGAGCCACTGCACCTGGCCCCCTTTTTTTTTTCTCAAGTGGTGAGCTGGTAAATCAGCTCTTAAAACCAAACCCCTGATTTGTAGTGTTTGCCAATGTCCATGGTATAAATATTCAAGCCATGGCTAATTTCAAGCTATCAACATGATGTGAACTGGCTCACAAAATTCCTGAAAATTTCACAATCAGCTCTTGTTAGCCAGTACAGACTGGCTTCAGCACACCACTCATCCCATCCTTAAAGTTCACACCAGTCTTTATGAATTGGCACCATATAAATGAAGCTGGAAATTTCTGGAGTCCAAAAGTCAGAGATCCAGTGGCAAACTGAGATTGGTCTGCCCCAGGTCCAAAGTGAGAAACAAGAGAACCATGGCAAAAAGTAGCTTCTATAAGGAGGACAGCCACCCCAAGGCAAAAAAACAAACAAACACAAGGCTGGGCACACACCTCAAAGATCTCAAAGCCAGCAATGTCCAGCACGCCGATGAAGAACTGCCTCTGCATCTTGGTGTCCAAGGTCTTGTTAATCCTGGCCACCAGCCACTTGAACATCTTGTCGTAGACAGCCTTGCCCAGAGCCCCAATGGAGTTTTGGCACTGTTCCATGTTCTGGCCTTTTTGCACAAACTCATTGCCTACTTTGACCCGGGGCCTGGTGATGCCCTTCTGCAGTTCACCAGAGTTGAGACCCATGAGATGGGCGACTTTGTCAGCCACTGAGTAGGGATGGAAAAAGCAGGTTAGTGCAGGAAAGATGTAGCCATGCCCAGGAGAAACCTGGCAACATCTATTGTGGTTCAGAGAGGGGGTGAAAGGGAGGGTGGAGGAGATCCCATTTTGCCAATGAGAAAACAAAGATGTGGTAGTTTCTACACTTGCTCAAGGTCAAATGGCAGCTGGGCACTGTGGGTCATGCCTGTGATTCCAGCACTTTGGGAGGTTAAGGTAGGAGGATCACTTGAGGCCAGGAGTTTGAGATCAGCCTGGGCAACATAGCAAGACCCTGTTTCTACAAAAAATTAAAAAATTATTCCAGGCGTGGTTGTGTGCACTTGTAGTCCCAGCTACTGAGGAGGTTGAGGCAGGAGGATCGTTTGAGCCCACAAGGTTGAGGCTATAGTGAGCTACAATTGCATGACTGCACCGCTGCGCTCCTGCCTAGGCAACAAAACAAGACCCTGTCTCAAAAAATAAATACAAATTAAAACAGCAACGACAGCAAAACAAAATCACGTCTTGACCCTCAATTGTGCTTTTCTGAAAATATCAATGTCTGAACATGTGTGGCTTGCAGCCACGTAGAGCTGGCATGTCCCTGAAATGGCCACAAAGCCCTGGAAAGTAGGGAACTCCCCTCCACTGGCCACCTTGTCCCTGAGCAGCCCCAGCCCAGCACCTACCCTCAGTGGTGTCCACTTCAGCTTGCTCTTCTCTGGGCTTCTGCTTGAACTTCATATTCCCAAAGTGCATGATACCTCCGGTCAGCTTATACACGGACATCTTCTCCTCGGTGCTGAAGCCCAGCACATCAAAGGCTTCCTGCAAAGCAACAGAGAGACAAAGCCACATGACTCCTGCCTTCTCATTCTACATAGTGGAGGCCATGGGACTTCCACGGTGGGGCCATGCCAAACGGCCACTGCGGCAGGGCGTGGACCCTGGAGTTAGACACACCCTGAACAGGGAGGGTTCTATTTTCCTCCAAGGAGTCCAGATCAGATGTTCTGTTATAAGTCATCTTCTTTATTGCAGTAACCTCTCTGGCTTCTGTTTCACCACCTGGTAAATGGTGATGTTAATGGTAGATCAGAATGATGTGACAATCTTTAGTCCATATTGAGCACATAGTAAGTGCTCAATAAACGGAGGTATTGTTATTTTTTTGAGATAGGGTCTTACTTTTTTGCCCAGGGTAGAGTGCAGTGGCATGATCATGGCTCATTGCAGCCTAGAACTCCTGGGATCAAGTGATCCTTCTACATTAGCCCCCTGAGTAGCAGGGATAAGAGGTGCATGCCACCACACCTGGCTTATTTATTGATTGATTGATGGAGTTCTCCCTCTATCACCCAGGCCGGAGTGCAGTGGTATAATCTCTGCTCACTGCAACCTCCACCTCCTGGGTTCAAGTGATTCTCCTTCCTCAGCCTCCAAAGTAGTTGAGATTGCAGGCATACGACACCATGTCTGGCTAATTTTTTGTATTTTTTAGTAGAGATGGGGTTTTACCATGTTGGTCAGGCTGGTCTTGAACTCTTAACCTCAAGTGATTCACCTGCCTCAAAGTGCTGGGATTACAGGTGTAAGCCACCATGCGCAACCAGTTATTTTATTTTTTGAGGTAGGGTCTGTTTCCCAGGCTAGAGTGCGGTGGCACAATCATGGCTCACTGCAGCCTAGAACTCCTGGGCTCAAGTGATCCTCCCATTTTAGCTTCCCAAGTTGCTGGTTATTATAATAGGTGCATGCCACCACACTCGGCTAATTTTTAAATTAATTTTTTTTTTTTTTTTTTTTTGCAGAGACAGGATCTTACTATGTTGCCCAGGTTGGACTCAAACTCCTGGACTTAAGCAATCCTCCTGCCACAGCCTTCCAAAGCGCTGGGATGACAGGCGTGAGCCACTGTGGCTGGCACTATTATTATTGTTAAGGCTTCATGCTAGGTATTAAGTGAGGGGAAGGCAAAGATAAATCAGGAATTGATTCTGTCGTCAAAGAGGAGAGAGGACCTGTATACAAATAATCCTAACAGGAGTCATGAGTGTTTCGTGTCATAAGAGGAGACAGAGTGTGGTGGGGACTGGGAGAATGACAGAGTCACTTCTAGCTGGGCTGCAGAGAAGGAAAAGTTGCTTGGGGTTGATGGCCCCTTAAGTCCCCAGGGAATTCTAGTTCAACTCTGCAAAGAGAAACCCTGCTTGCTACAACAGGCTTGGGATAAAACACTGACTGCAACCCCAGACATCTCAAAGGAGGATTTGGGTGGCTGTCTGGCAGTTCTAAGTGGGCTCCTGTTCCCACCGCCACCCCAGTTCTAGTAGCCGTGCGTGCAGGGCCCAAAGGCTTCTCCCCCTTTGCCAGCTCTGCCTGCCCACTCACATCTGTGATCTGCAGCTCCTCCTTGTCATCCATGTTGTCCACTGTGGTAACGCCTTGGCTCACCCAGTGGTATTCCTTAGGGTTGGGGACCAGCAGCAAACTCTCTGCCAAGAGCAGCAAAGCAGGTTAACCCTTGGTGATGTGTGGCTTTCTTTTCTGCCATCTCTAACCTATCTTCCTTCTCCTCCTCCCTCCCTCCTTCCCTCTCTCTTTCTCTTTCTCTCTCTCTTTCTCTCTTTCTCTCTTTCTTCCTTTCTTTCGATAGGGTCTGGCTCTGTTGCCCAGACTGGAGTGCAGTGGGACAATCATAGCTCATGCAGCCTCAAACTCCTGGGCTTAAGTGATCTGCCTGCCTCGGCCTCCTCAGTAGCTGAGACCACAGGTACCACCACGCCTGGCTAATTTTTATTTGCTTATTTTAAATTTTTTTTTTTTTTTGAGATGGAGTCTCGCTCTGTCACCCAGGCTGGAGTGCGTTGGCACAATCTTGGCCCACTGCAACCTCTGCCTCCCGGGTTCAAGCTATTCTCGTGCCTCGGCCTCCTGAGTAGCTGGGATTACAGGTGCCCACCACCACACCTGGCTAATTTTTGTAATTTTAGTAGAGATGGGTTTTCCCCATGTTGGCCAGGCTGGTTTCAAACTCCTAACCTCTGGTGGTCTGTCTGCCTCAGCCTCCCAAAGTGCTGGGATTAGAGGTGTGAGTCATTGTGCCCAGCCATTTTTTATTTTTTGTAGAGACAAGGTCTTGCTATGTTGCCCAGGCTGGTCTCAAACTCCTGGGCTCAAGTGATCCTCCTGTCTTCACCTCTCAAAGTGCGGGGATTACAGACATGAGCCACTGCACTCGGCTGGAAATTGCATTTTTAAATGAAGTCCCCCAATTTCAAAATGCTGTTCCGGCACCATTCACATCACTTTAAACCGAAGGGATTATCAGAGAACCCCAGGAGAGACACAAGTCCCCTTGCACATGGGAATTCTTTACTTATAGAAAAGGATGAAAGCAAGGTCAGGGACAGATGGAAAGACATAAAAGTCTTTACCAACAAGGTCAGGCTTCTTGTTTGAGAGAATCTGGTAGAAGATGTGGTAGCTTCTCTCGGCTGCTTGCTGTGAGATGACACGAGACTTCTCTAAGAGATCTGAAAAAGAAGTGGAGATGCTAGTGAGTACACAGCTGTTTCCCTGGAGTTCAGTGCTGCCTACAAAGCAGGAATCCTCTCTCCATAAAGCCTAGAACAGTCACCAGTGGTGAGCCCCACCCATCGCTCTTCCAGACACAGCCTCCAGGGACCTGACTGCCTCTGAGGGAGGCCTGGGAATGAGGCCAGACTCCTGGGCACCGTCAGGCTGCAATCAGAAGGACCTCCCACTTGGTTTAATGCTTCTTTGTTACTGTTTCGAAATTCCTTTATTATTTTTTATTTATTTATTTATTTTTGAGATGGAGTCTCGCTCTGTTGCTAGCCTAGAGTGCAATGGCATGATCTTGGCTTACTGCAACCTCCACTTCTTGGGTTCAAGCACTTCTCCTGCCTCAGCCTCCCAAGTAGCTGGGACTACAGGCATGTGCCACTATGCCCTGCTAATTTTTGTATTTTTAGTAGAGACAGGGTTTCACCATGTTGGCCTGGATGATCTCAATCTCTTGACCTTGTGATCCACCCACATCGGCCTCCCAAAGTGCTGGGATTACAAACGTGAGCCACTGCGCCTGGCCTATTATTATTTTTAGAGAGAGTGTCTTTCTGTGTTGCCCAGGCTGGAGTGCAGTGGTGTGATTATAGCTCACTGCAATCTCTAACTCCTGGTGATCCTCCTGACTAGCTGGGACTACAGACATGTACCACCATGCCAGGCTAATTTTTCACGTTTTTCGGGATCTTTCTATGTTGCCCAAGCTGGTCTCAAACTCCTAGGCTCCAGCAATCTTCCCGCCTCAGCCTCCCAAAGTGCTGAGGCATAAGCCACTTTGCCTGGCCTGAAATTCTTAATATGTTTTAACATGAGCCCCTCATTTTCATTTTGCACTGGGCCTCACAGATTGTGTGGCTGCCCAGAGAAACCCTCTAGGAGGGCTTGACTTACAGCTCTCGATGTCAGCTCCAGCCAGTTTTCCTGTGGTTCCGAAGTGGATTCGGATGAACTTGCCCTGAGCAGGGAGGAGAGGGGAGGGAACAGGAGGGAAGTCATCCACAGCTTTAGAGTGTAAGTGGCCCAGAGTTGGCCTACTGGGGCTGCGGGGATGTAACCGGGCTGTATTGGAGTGGCAGATTTCCCACGAAGATAGGCAGAGAAACACATGAACAGGTCTGAGAGCTAAATCTAGGGTCTGTGGTTTGGGGCATTTGTCGGGGAGAGAAGTCCAGCAGGAGGGATGGTACCCTTTGGAATTCTATGTAGAATCCAGGCACCATGCAAATTTGGAGCACCCGCCACGCCTCTTTACCTGGAGACTTCTGTGTCATTCATTTCTCTGGCTTGCATGGTAGAGCCACCAATAAATTCTCCTGGAAAAAGGACTCTCTCTCTCTCTACCTTGGCTGCTCCTGGGCCTGTCTGTGCTCACCTCTGTTCCTCCCCTCACCACCACCAGCTCTGTTTTACCAGGCTTCCTGCAAGCTTGCTAGGCTCTGCTAATGGGAGGCCCCAGAGGAGGTCCGGGAGTCAGAGAGACGAGGCCAGGGTATTGCTCCTCCCTGGTTGGTATCTCAGGTGGTGCTGGGTGCCTCTATGACTCCAGCTCCCGCCAGACAGCTGCACCGGTTTAAGAACTCACCAGGAACCTAGGATAGCACCTCTCTCACATTCCTCCAGCCTAGAAGAGGTCACAGCTTCCCACTGCTGTCAATCTCTGTCTCCCTAGGTGACTGTTGCCAAGGCTCTGCATCAACGCCACTTGACTTAAATATTAATACTAAAGAGGGTTCTGTTTGCTGATTAGATGCTTCCCACCCCCCCCACCCCCCGGTACAGGATCTTGCTCTGTTGCCCAGGCTGGAGTGCAGTGGCACGATCTCTGATCACTGCAGACTTGACTTCCCAGGCTCAGGTAATCCTCCCACCTTAGCCTCCCAAGTAGCTGGGACTACAGGCATGCATGGCCATGCCCGGGTAATTTTTATTTTTTGTAGAGATGGGGGGTGGTCTCACTATATTGCCGAGGCTGGTCTTGAACTCCTGGGCTCAAGAGATCCTCCTGCCTTGGCTTCCCAAAGTGCTGGGATTACTGGCATGTGCCACTGTGCTTGGCCTCCTTTTATGCTAATGGAGATTTTTTTTCTTTATTGAGAAATGTCAAGACTTGGGTACATCAAAGAAAACCAACTTCTGAGGGGAAAAAAAAAATCAAAACCCACTATAGAAAAAAAACGGTTAACTCTGTCTGGGTCTCTGCAGAACCCAGAGAATGTATTCGTACAATTCAAAAACTCTAGGTGCCTTATAATTGATCTTTTTTTTTTTTTTTTGAGATAGAGTCTCGCTCTGTTGCCCAGGCTGGAGTGCAGTGCAGTGGCACAGTCTTGGCTCACTGCAACCTCCACCTCCCAGGTTCAAGCAATTCTGCCACAGCCTCTCAATTAACTGGGATTACAGGCGCCTGCCTCCACACCTGACTAATTTTTTTGTAATTTTAGTAGAGGTGGCGTTTTGCCATGCTGGCCAGTCTGGTCTCGAATTCCTGACCTCGTGATCCATCCACCTTGGCTTCCTAAAGCACTGGATTATCAGCATAAGCCACTGAGCCTGGCCTCAATTGATCTTTTGATACAAAATTACCTGTTAAATTTGCAATTTGTAGTTCTCGGTGTTGAGGCTCATTGGACCAGCTAGTAGGAGTCTTCAGCTGAATTCCACGAGGGGTTATTTATCTTTTGAGTTAGTTTTTCCTCATTGCCAATTTAATTCTGATTGCTATGCCTGAAATGTCTCTGGGAAGGCGATGTCTTCACTTGCCCCGCCGCTGTCACCTTAATTTAAAACAGCCTCAATTTCTTTACCTAGGGTGGGTTCGTGACACCTGTCCTACCACCCAGGGGGCCTCTCATGTGGCTGCCCACACTTACGAAGCGAGAGGAGTTGTTGTTCCTGATGGTCTTGGCGTTTCCGAAAGCCTCCAGCACGGGGTTTGCCTGGATGATTTGATCCTCCAGAGACTTCTGATACAGAAAGAAACCCAAAGTCGGTTGACCAGTTGGCTGCAGCCTGGGAACCCAGGGCTGAGGGACTGGGCTTGCAAATGACAGTGGCTCATGTGCTGGGAACCCAGGAGGGGAATGGCCCTGGGGTGGCCAGAAAATCAGGGCCAGAGGGGCTGCATGTAGAGATCTGGGAGGAGGGCCACTGCCTGACAGTGTCTGTCCCTCTGTGGCTCCATGACATTGGGAGGGGCACCTGGGGACATGGGCAGCCACCTGGGCTTGATCCCTAGCTACTGTTTTCTCAGTTTGCTGTTGACAGAGAGCCCCCTGAGCAAGTCTGAAACACCTCCCTGCACATCCTTCATCTCTCACCTTTGCTCTGTTAGCCTTCTCCCGCTCCCTTTTTAGAGACAGGGTTTTGCTCTGTTGCCTAGGCCGGAATGCAGTGGCACGATCTCGGCTTACTGCAGCCTCCCACTCCTGGGCTCAAGTGATCCTCCACTTCAGCCTCCTGAGTAGCCACTCCCAGCTAATTTTTAGTTTTTTGTAGAAATGGTGTTTTGCTATGTTGCCCAGGTTGGTCTTGAACTCCTAGACTCAAGCAACCCTCCCACCTCAGCCTCCCAGAGTGCTGGGATTATAGGCATGAGCCCAGTGTGCCCGGCCTCAGTGGGCCTTTTTGTTTGTTTGTTTGTTTTTTGTTTTGAGACAGTCTCCCTCTGTTGCCAGGCTGGAGTTCGGTGGCACGATCTCTGCTTACTGCAACCTCCGCCTCCCGGGTTCAAGTGATTCCCCTGCCTCAGCTTCCCCAGTAGCTGGGAACTACATGCACGCACCACCACACCAGGCTAATTTTTTTTTGTATTTTAGTAGAGACAGGGTTTCACCATGTTGGCCGAACTCCTGACCTTCTGATCCACCCACCTCGGCCTCCCAAAGTGCTAGGAATGTAGGCATGAGTCACCACGCCCGGCCTCTGTCAGCCTTGTACAGCTGCCTTAGCTGGCTGCCCATCTTAGGTTCTTTGTACCCCTGGGGCAGCCGGGGCCTGCAGAAGCCACTTAACAGGCAGCAAACTTTCCCGTTTCTCCTCTGCCAAGTACAAGGGGCTCTGCTACCTGTCCTTCTGGAGGCAGACATGGCTTGGGGCAGCAGAACAAGTCCTGGAGGAGGAGACCCTGATCTATCTGATCTACGGCCACCTTCTCCCTGTGTGACCCCACCCAAGTCACTTATCTCTAAGCCTCAGTCTCCTCATCTGTAAAATGGCCCTAAGCTGTGAGAAGCTGTGAAGATTGAACAGGTGCCACTGTGTGTGTCACAGATGCCTGAAGATGGGAAATGGACCCTGGGACCACTTGGCCGGCTCTTACCTTCTTATCTGTGGTCTGTTTGCCAGTTCCTCCGATGTTGGCAAAGTACTGGATGACCTTCTTCGTGTTTTCAGTCTTACCAGCACCAGATTCTCCACTGCAGGTGGAAAAAAAAGAGTGAACAAGAGAAGCAGGAAGAGGGGGCTTGGCCACAGAGAAAAGAAGCAAGACCAGCCTGGCCAACATGGTGAGATCCCGTCTCTACTAAAAATACAAAAATTAGCTGGGTGTGGTGGCTCACACCTGTAATCCCAGCACTTTGGGAGGCCAAGGCAGGAGGATCACCTGAGGTCAGGAGTTTGAGACCAGCCTGGCCAACATGGTGTAGCCCCGTTTCTACTAAAATTACCAAAATTAGCTGGGTGTGGTGGGGCATGTTTGTAATCCCAGCTACTCAGGAGGCTGAGGCAGGAGAATTGCTTGAACCCAGGAGGTGGAGGTTGCAGTGAGCCGAGATAGTACCACTGCATTCCAGCCTGGGTGACAGAGCAAGAATCCATCTCAAAAATATAACCAAAACTATTTCTGAGGAGAAAAAAATTAAAAAAAAAATTTGAGATAGGGTCTTGCTCTGTCATCCAGGCTGGAGTGCAGTGGTGTGATCATAGCTCACTGCAGCCTCTACCTCCTGGGCTCAAGAAATCCTCCTACCTCAGCCTCCTGAGTAGCTGGGACTACAGGAATCCACCACCACACCTGGCTAATTTTTTGTAGAGATGGGGTCTCACTATGTTGCCCAGGCTGGTCTCAAACTCCTGGGCTCAGCTGATCTTCCTGCCTCAGCTTCCCAAAACCCTGGGATTACAGGTGTGAGCCACCACACCTGGCCTCAAAGGTATACATTTCTGTTCACATTTTGCCTCCTAGCCAGGGCAGGCAGGCAGGGGGGGAGTCCTGGGGACAGGGAAGCCACCCCATCAGTTTAGCAGGTGCAGCCTCACCCAACCCGCTAAGCCCACTCATCTGCCTGCAGAGTTCCAAACAAAGTCCTCCAATTAATTCCAGAAAGGCTTAATTATATGTGTAAGACACAGACCTAATTATATGTATATAGACTGAGAGATGGAAGAGACACTTACGTGATTAGCATGGACTGATTTTCACGATCTGTGGGGAAGAAAACAAGAAACAGGAAGGTGTAATTAGGAAACATTTAGAAACTAGACATTTGACAATGCCCCAGCTAAATAGCGCTTCCCCAAATTCTACCCGCCTTAGATCGTGGCCTTGGCTACACTTGGAGGCCAAAATCCAGGATCCTGTGGGATCTGTGGCCACGTGCCCATCCCTGGAGCGTACACCCTTGCAGAAAGGATTAGGAATTTATCAGCCACTCTTTCTACCAGCCTAGAGTGGCCATCAAGCGACCCAGTCCTAAGCAGCACAAAGGGAAATGAAGACAAAAATCACAGAGGGCTGGACAGCATGACTCATGCCTGTAATCCCAGCATTTTGGGAAGCCCGTGAGTTCAAGACCAGCCTGGGCAAGATGGTGAAACCCTGTCTCTACAAAAAATTAAAACATTAGCTGGGCACAGTGGCACATGCCTATAGTCCTAGCTACTCAGGAAGCTGAGGCAGGAGGATTGCTTGAGCCCAGAAGTTCTAGACTGCAGTGAGCTAAGATTATACCACTGCACTCCAGCCTGGGCAACAAAGACACTGTCTTTAAAAAAAAAAAAATCATGGCCAGACACGGTGGCTTACGCCTGTAATCCCAGCACTTACGGAGGCTGAGGCAGGTGATCACTTGAGGTCAGGAGTTTGAGACCAGCCTGGCCAACATGATGAAACCCCGTCTCTACTAATAATACAAAAGTTAGCTAGGCATGGTGGCACACGCCTGTAATCCCAGCTATTCAGGAGGCTGAGGCAGGAGAATCGCTTGAACCCAGGAGGCGAAGGTTGCAGTGAGCTGAGATTGCACCATTGCGCTCCGTCCGGCCTGGGTGACAAGAGCGAAACTTCATCTCAAAAAAAAAAAAAAAAATGCATAGAGGAATCACTATAACATGCAGCCAAGATCATACAGGTAATGGTTAAGAGTATTAACTTGAGTTCTGAGCAAGTTACTTACCTACTTACCTTGGCATCCCATGGCTTTGTGACGCTTAAGTGAGATAGGATGTATGTGCCCAGCATACTTACTGAGCCCTGACACCTGGTAGCAGCAGCTGATGCTCAACATTTAGCAAAGAACTTCAACTGGTGGTGCAGGGTCAGGGTTAGGATGGGGTATCACAAGGTCTTAATGCGTCTGGAGCAGCAATGGCAAAGGAAGGCTTGTCTCCCGCCACCCCAGCCCCAGCAGAGCCCATCCCAACGCACCCATAAGCATGTCGTGGTAGGCGTTGTCAGAGATGGAGAAGAGGTGAGGTGGCATCTCTGTGCGCTTCTTGCCCTTGTACATGTTGGCCACACGGGCTCCATAGATGGGCAGCCACCTGTAGGGGTTGACTGTCACGCAGAACAAACCTGAGTAGGTCTGAAGGGAGGGAGGGAAGATGGTCAGCTTGTTCTTCCTCCTGGTACCCTCTTCCCCCAGCTGAGTTCCCTTCAAGCCCCAGCATATCATAGAGCAAGCTGTGAAGAACACCAGTTTTCTGCCAGGTGCGGTGGCTTACACCTGTAATCCCAACACTTTGGGAGGCTGAGGTGGGCAGATCATGAGGTCAGGAGTTCAAGACCAGCCTGACCAATGTGGTGACACTATCTCTACTAAAAATATGAAAATTAGCAAGACATGGTGGCATGGGCCTGTAGTCCCAGCTACTCAGGAGGCTGAGGCAGGAGAATCACTTGAAACTGGGAGGCAGAGATTTCAGTAAGCCGAGATCATGCCACTGCACTCCAGCCTGGGCAACAGAGTGAGACTCCGTCTCAACAACAACAACAACAACAGCAACAACAACACAACCCAGGCTCTGGAGGCAAAACCTTATGTCTATCTGAATGAGCCTTCTCTTTAATATATATTTGTTTTTGTTTTCTTTTGGTTTAATTACAGTTACTCCTCAATTTATGATGGGGTCACATCCAGACAAACCCATCATACAATGAAAAGAAATATCGTATTGGAAGTCAATTTATGATATTTTCAATGTACAATTGGTTTAATCATAAATCAGGGAGGGCACTGAATGTGTATTGCTTTTACCCCATCATAAAGTCAAAAATCATTAAGTTGAACCATTGTAAGTTGTGGTCCATATGTATTTGAATAGGTAACACTGTCACTGTGGTGACATATATACGCAAAAGGTCCCTCGACTTGCTCCATGCCAACCCCTACCCTCACCACAGGTAAACACTGGGCTAGTTCCTTTTACTCCCTTCCATGTTTTCTTAATTATATATATATTTTTGAGACAGAGTATCACTCTGTCGCCCAGGCTGGAGTGCAATGGCACGATCTCGGTTCACTGCAACCTCTGCCTCCCAGGTTCAAGCAATTCTCCCTCAGCCTCTTGAGTAGCTGGGACTACAGGTGCCTGCCACCAGACCCGGCTAATTTTTGTATTTTTAGTGGAGACAGGGTTTCACCATATTGGCTAGGCTGGTCACGAACTCCTGACCTCAAGAGATCTGCCCACCTTGGCTTCCCAAAGTGCTGGGATTACAGGCGTGAACCGCTGCGCCTGGCCTATAGTACTATTTTTGTGTCTTGCTTTTGCCACTTAATATAGCTGAGTTTCCATGACAGTCCATTGAGAGATTTCTGGGGTGATTCAATAGATGTGGAATCTTCACTGTGTGGATGCAGTTTCCTACTTGTGGCAGCTAGGTTTGACCACCTGTTGTTTTCTTTTTCTTTAAGAGCCAGAGGCTTGCTCTATCTCCCAGGCTGGACTGCAGTGGTACAGTCATAGCTCACTTCACCGTTGACCTCCTGGACTCAAGGGATCCTCCCACCTCAACATTGCAAGTAGCTGGTACTACAGGTATGTGCCCATTAAGCCTGTAAAATTAAAAATAATTTTTGTAGAGATGGGAGTGTTGCTGTGTTGGCCAGACTTGTCATGATCTGTCCTCAAACAATCCACCCACATTGGTCTCCCAAAGTGCTGGGATTACAGGCGTGAGCCACAGCACCTGGCCTTGCGCGGTGGCTCACGCCTGTAATCCCAGCACTTTGGGAGGCCGAGGCGGGTGGATCACGAGGTCAAGAGATCGAGACCATCCTGGTCAACACGGTGAAACCCCGTCTCTACTAAAAAT